GATGTTGCAAATAAGGGGAAGATTTTCACCTCAAAAGTTGGATGAAGTGTTCCTGGTTTGGAGCACGGAACACCAAGGTCTTACCTGGAACTGCGAACCCAGGAGTCCAAGGAGCAGGTGAGCTGACAGAGTCCTGGGGGGACCAGAGGGGCCAGCAGAAGGGAGAAGGTGACAGGTTGTTAATTCTATTCCACACCCCTCACCCCAATATTCATCACAGTCACAAACTTCACTGGACCCCTGGTATAGGATAAGCACTCGACTACAAGGGTGGTTTGAACCACAAGGTTGTCAGCTCAAACTCACTATCCACTCCTCAGAAATCCTATACAGGGTTGCTGTGGGTCAGAACCAACTCGTTGGCATGTAACAACAACATACTTTACAGTCGTGGCTAGATCAAGAGGAGGGAAGGCAAACATGACCCCTCAAAGAACAAACAGGTATTAGTTAGATCCTCCAACCCTGAAGGCCTTTTGAGGGTCACTTTGCAAAGTGATTGTATATATATCCTAAAAGGACACACGCGTTGGAGAGAGGGGGGAATCTTAGATTCTTGGCCTTCTGGGCTGGCAATTAATACATTTTAATTGCAGTTTGAAACCACCAGCCACTCCGTGGGAGAAAGATGAGGCTTTCTGCTCCCTTAAAGATTTATAGCCTTGGAAACCCTGTACAGGGTCACTATGAGTCAGAACTGACTCCATGGCACATAACAACAACAACATACTTATCAGTAGAAAGTACTTGGGGTGGCGCTGTGGGATCAGTACTGGACAGCTAACTTCAAGGTCGGCTGTTCAAACCCACCAAGCTGCTCCTCAGAAACCCTATACAGGGTCGTTATGACTTGAAACTGACTCAATGGTACTTAATAACAGCATGTATATATACATTAATGTGTGTTGCTGTGAGGGGGCTCTTAGGCTGTAATATTTTGGTAGCGTAGTGCTTACAAATCAGGCTGCTAATCTCAAGGTCAGCGGTTCGAAACTACCAGCTGTTCCATGAGAGAAAGATGAGGTTTTCTGCTCCTGTAAAGACTTACAGCCTCGGAAACCCTGTACAGGGTCGCTATGAGTCGGAAGCAACTCCACAGCACACAACAACAACATCATCTTTTCAGGGGAGTCCTGGGGTGGCACTGTAGGATAAGTACTCGACCATAAGGTCCATTTGAACTAAAAGGTCAGTGGTTCAAATTCACCAGCTGCTCCTCAGAAACCCTCTACACAGTCAGGTCACTATAAGTCAGCACCGAGTCACCGGCACACAACAATCTTTTCAAGAAATAGAACGGTAGACCTTTTCTTCTTGGGAGGCCCTGGGTGGGTTTGACCCTCCAACCTTTCAGTTAATTCCTGACCACTAACCAGTGTATCTCCAGGGCTCCTGGCATGTATGCATTTGTTGTTAAAGTGCCATTGAGTCGACTCATAGGGGCCCTGTAGACGGTTTCCAAGGAGCGACTGGTGAGTTTGAACTGCCAACCTTGCACTTCAAACCTTGTAGTCCAGTGCTTATCCTCCAGTGCTACACTATACATAATTGTTGTTAAGCGCTGTCAAGTCGATTCCGACCCGTAGCAACCCTGTATAGGGTTTCCAAGGAGCAGCTGGTGAGCTTGAACCACCGACCTGGCAATTCAAACAGCTTTGCAGTCTGGTGCATTAACCCACAGCGCCACAGCAGGACTGCATACATAATTATATTGCTATAATTAAGGTCATATTTCCACAGGATAATATGTACTGTTACAATGACTGATGCCAAGTCACTAACCAAACACTTGCCATTGAGCTGTTGACTCCTGGGAGGCCCAGTGTGTCATCAGAGGAGAGCTGTGCTCCACAGGGTTTTCAGAGGCTGACTTGTTGGAGATGTACAGGTATATGTGCATAACCTTCAATGTCCAACCTTTTGGTTAGAAGCCAAACACTAACTTAGGGACTCCACAAAGATTGTTGTTGTTAAGTGCTGTCGAGTCGGTTCTAACCCATAGCCACCCTGAACAGGGTTTCCGAGGCTATAAATCTTTACAGGAGCAGAAAGCCTCATCTTTCTCCCGCGGAGCAGCTGGTAGTTTCAAACTGTTGACCTTGCAGTTCGCAGCCCGATTCATAACCACTACGCTACCAGCTTCCAGAGCTCCTTCCACAAAGATTGGTACCCATCAAAACCCACTGCCGTTGAGTTGACACGGTTTCCAAGACTGTCAGTTTTTATAGGAGCAGAAAGCCTCATCCTTGTCCAGAGAAGCTGCAGTTGGGTTGGCAGCCCAAAGCTTAAATTAAACATGGTACCACCAAGGTTCCTAAGATTGGTACATTCTGGTATTGGAATGCTGGTGTGGTGCTGTAGGAAAAGCAGAAACCACAAAGTCAGCAGTTCGAATCCACCAACTGCTCCTTGGCAACTCTATATAGAGTTGCTATGAGTCGGAACCGACTCAATGGCACATGATTCCCAATCCCAGTGGTGGTCTCTGCTGCTGAGAATTTGGGAAACACTGTGTTCATCTTGTGTGGACCAGCCCTTCAGCCTGGGATTCTCCCCCCACCCGACCCCCGCCACAAAGAAACGCCCAGGACAGAGCTTGAACACAGTATGGGTGGGCAGGAGGAAGCCTCATCTCCAATATGAGAATCAATGGTCAGAATCAAGAGTCACCAAATGACACCCCCAGGCTCCGGCTTTGAAGGCTGCATTTGTGTGGACACAGCTGGCTAGAATCCATCTCCCAGCCCCCACCCCAACCCCAGCAATGTGAGGTTCAAGGCCTCAAATAGAAAGGCCACGGAAAGACCAGGGAGGAGGGGGAGAGGGAATCATCTTTTGGCATTTCAAGGCGTGTTTAAAATGTTCTTTAATACCTTTCCCAGTTATGTACATTATTTACACCCAATCCAGTTGTTTTTTTAAAATACATAATTGTTTTCTCATTTATTCTGCATTGAAATGTGCACAGCACATACATTCCCACAGCATCTGCATAAAACTACAGATTCTGGAAACGGAGATAAACCCAGAAACCCCAACCCCCAGCACAGCAATAGAAAAACTTTACAGTATCTCACAGGGCACAGTTCTATCCCAAATATACACACACACACACATATAAATACAGATGATCAAGAATGCTAGACTTCTGTACTTAAGACTTAAGACACTCCTGACAATTTGCTTGGGCTCCCAAATGTAACTGAATGTGTTTTAATGGGACCATGGTTACTGAGTTTACAGTTCCTCAGCTCCTCCCCAAACAGCACAGAGAAATTGAAACATCACTTTACTTCGACCCACCTGATGTTTACGGTGTGGTTAAAAAAACAACAACAATAACAACAGAAAACACGCATTGTTATTAAGATATGGCTAGCCTTTTTTTAAGACTCTGGTCCTGCCTCAGTGGTTTCCAAAGTGACTTTAGTCTTTCAGAACTCAGTTAAGAATAGTATTTTAAGTGGATGATTTGCATTCAAACAGAGTTTTAAAAAAGGAATGTGAAAGACAAAAACTCCGATCAGATTTTCCAACCCATCTTGTAGACCCCCATCCAGTTAATTTGGGAGACAGCTCAGAAGCCTACCAGGATATGGAAGTCTCGGAGTGATGTATAGAGGTTTCTGGTAAGAATAATTCATTTTATATAAAACACTTAAAAAAAAAAGTCATTCATTAAAAATGAATTTGCCCATCAGTTCGGAACTTAAAAAAAAAAAAAAAAAAACCATGACCGACCCTGCCTCTTCCATCTTTGCTTCAGCGACAGGGGTTACATTTGTAAAATATATAAAGAAAAATATAAGGTTACTTGGTGACCATATAGTGCACTGTAACAGCTGTCTGGGAATATTTTCACCATGATTATCCTTACTAAAAGTAATTCACGGGGTAAAGATAGCTCAAACGTGACAAGGTTGAAATGGGACACACCGAAATGATCTGTAACCCTTTTTGGCTACATATGGAAAAATAGAAAAAAAAGACTTCTTAGGAATGGCAAACCGTGGACCTCGTCTGAAATCACAGAATCGGCGACTGGTTTAAGGCATGTGAGGTAGACAGTCAATCCCTTTAAGGAACATTCAGAAGCAGGAGCACCTCCACAGGGACACAAACACTGTATGAAGAGTTTGGTGCAATGACAAGGACAATTCATTTACCATGAAGTGTCCTTAGCACAGGGGAGCTTGTTGGTGTCTGCCAGTACAAACGGGATTGCATCTCTGTTGGAGCTGTAACTGCAAACACACCCCTCCGTCCATTTCCCAGGCTCCCAGTGGGATAATATCAAATCCTTTCTGTGAAATTGACAAATTGTATTTACCTCCTCCACCCCTAGCACACAGGCCCAGCTGCCCCTCACTGTGGAGCTGTGGCTCATCCCGCCCCCCCAAAAAAACGAGAAGAGAAGTTTCTGCAACTCTGGAGCCGGCTCTCCCGCCTGGTGTATGACTGAAGATTGACTACATGCAAGTTTAAAGGTCAACCTTGGCCAGTCTAAAAACAGAGTGGCAGCGGGAGCCTTCGACTGTGTACTGTGTCCCCGAAGTAAACCGATCTGTCCCAGTCCCAAATAATAGTAACAGGGTACAGGAAGTCGGAAGCTGGAAGACGCAAGAGGAAGAAGGCAAGGCTGGAGTTTTCTTAGTGGGCTTCCCAAGAAGGTCTGCCTATCCTGTCCTGGGGGATGCTCACCTCCATGCTGGACGGTCAGCAGCTGCAGAGGTTGCAGATCAGGGATTCCCAAGTCCATTTGCTTGTGAAAAACAAAGAGCAATGCGCTTTTGAAAAGTTACAGAAATCCAGTGGTAAAATTTCTCCACGGTTGCACCAGATTAAGTACATTGTTTTTGTCTTTTTTCCTAGAATATGCAACACACCCAGAGAACCATAAATAATTCTGTGGCCATATATACACCTTTAAATAAATACATTAACGCCTACTGTGGTATGAAATGCTCTATCCAAACAAAGTGCTGGTTGTCCCTGGACGGTCACATCCTGGGGAGAAAGTGGGTGACTTTCATGGTAGGTGACACTCTGTTTCCCTTCTTGGTCTTGCCGTTTTTGCTCAGTGCGACGAACATGCCGGGGAACTTGTAGGACTCGTAGGCGTTGTAGTTATTAGGTAGAAGAATTTCTTTAAACATGCACTCCTCCATGAAGAAAGGCTAGAAGGGAAGGGGCCAGTATGACTGTTGACCCTGGCTGCCAGAGACTAAGAGCTCCTTTCTGTCTGGGGCCGTCAAGACCCCCACAGGGTGTGAAGGAGAGGCATGGCCAGGCCAGCTGAGACTTCTACCACCTGCCCGGCACCTGGTGGCCAGCGAATGTCAACTGGTCTTTGGATGTTCTACAGATTACAGGCCTGGCCTACAGAAGGGATCTTGGTGGTGTCGGAGATGGGGATAGAGGAGAGACAGGGAGATGCCCACCCAGAGCTACCAGGAACCTCAGTGTTCCTGCCTCCAAGCTGTTCCTCCCAAACTGGCTGGTCCCGCCCCAGTGCCTGCTTAGCTACATCTCTGGGCCACTGGAGTAAGGTGGGGGTGGGGCGCTGCCCGCCCTGGCATCCCGTGACCCCGCCTCTGGTGCTCGGGTCTAGGGCCGAGTGGGTCTGAAGGAGCCCCATCCGGTTCACGCAGCACGCTGACCCACGCGAGCCACCGGTCGGACCCTGCTTATAACTCACCGAGCCATAGAGTTTGCCTTTGCTGTTCATGGCCACGAAGAACCGGCTGGAGACGCCGAAGAGAGTCACGACGCCCCTTTCTACCGGGGAGAGTTCCAGCAGGCCTGGGGAGACGAGCGCACGTTATTCCCGGAGGCTCAGGGGTCCCTCAGCCCGCACAGCCCCTCCCGGTCTCCCGGGGACTGAGCGCTCTCCACCCACCGTTTCTTGGATGGGGGCACAGTGCAAAGGGCCTCTGATACACGCCGATAGCCCAGCGTGTGAGACGCGCGGCGGCCCCCGAGCCCGGCCCCGGCTTGGACGAGCGTCCCGGGCCCCCGCGGACGCCGGTGCCCACGGGCGAGGCCGCTGGAATTCGGCTCTCGGAGTCCGGGCATCTGAAGGCGGGGAGGCGGGGCTCGGGTGCTAGGGGAGTTTGTCGGTAGCTGCGGCCAATCCTGGAGCCAGCGGGACTGTGTTCCAGCGTCCCCTCTCGTAGCACCACGAGCAGGTGCCCGGCCCTCTTTAAAGGGGCCTCCGCGGAGCGACCCCAGCCCTCCCGGCCGGCCGGCCCACTCACTGTCGCTGGTGTCGGCATGCACGCCGCCGATGCGCCCGTCGGGTAGCACCTGGAGGTGGAAACCTATGCCCACGTTGCAGTAGAGCCGCCGCAGCCGCTTGATCCCCAATAGGTAGTCTCCGGCACCACTCTGCACTGCCGCCTCCTTGGGCCGCGCGGCTGCAGGGAGCCGCGCTAGCGAGCGCGCCACCAGGCTGTCCCAGCGGCGCTCCAACTCGGCATCCAGTGTCCCGTTGGACGCGGTGGGCGCGGCGCCCCCGCGGCCCGCCCAGGGCGTCAGCAACGCCAGCAGCAGCGCCGGCAGCAGCGCCATCCCGGCCCACGGGCCGTGCGTCCCCAGCGTCCGGGCGCCGGTGGCCCGGCCAAGTGCGCTCCGCGAGGCTGGGCAGGAGCGCACTGAGAGAGACGGCACCCGGGCGCTACCGCGGTTGCAGGCGCGGCGGGCGGGACCTGCGGACGGTGCGCGCCTCCTGCGCGCTGGCCGGGCCCGCCGGGCCGCTATATATGGCCCGCGCCCCCTCCCACCCGGCCGCGCCCGCGGGGGGCCGGGTGCGCTCACTGAGCGCCCGGGGCGCTGTGGCGCTTGCGGCTGGTCACAGGCAGCCTGCCAATCAGGGCCGGGGGAGGGGAGGGCGTACAGGGACGAGCGTCGCGAGTGCCACCTGGAGGGACCCCAGCCCCCACCCTGGATCGTCCGGGCCCCGAACCGGCGTGTCTGTTCCACCACACCTGCCTACCAGGCGAGGTGCTGCCTCTTTCACTTGGTCTCTGTTGTCCCGGTTCCGGTCCCGGTCCCCGCTCTGGCTGGGCACTGCCCTCACCCTGCACCCTCGGAACCACACCCTACGCTTGGCGGGTCTGGGGACTCCTGGAGCTGGCTTTCTGGTTGACTCGTGAAAGAGCGGCCCGGAGTGGGGAAGGGCCCAAGCCACTCTAGGGCCCGGCGGGCGAGAGGAGCCTGGGTCCAAACTGCAGGGCGGCGAGGACCGGACTTGTCTCCGCGCTGGGCGAGTTTAGGGGATCGAGTCCCTTGCTACTCGATGGAGACACTGTTGGAGCTCAGGGCGCCACTAAGAAAGGAGAGGTAGCAAGGAAGGGGGGACGCCAGGTGGTGAAGGTGTACTCTTCCTGCTCTCACTGCACAGCCCCCCCTCCCCGACCCCCACTCAAGGACAGGTACAGCCCTGGGACATGGGGAGGTTCACATCGTGGTTTGGTTCCTTAGTAGAAACATTCTTTTGTCACAGACAGGACCGCCAAGCAAGTGAGGACTGGGTTCAGCCCTCTGGAAGGTTCCCTTCCCCCACCTATTGTGGGAGGGGGGCTCCCCCCACTGTGCCCATTAGTGCCTGATGGGGGCAGGGCTGCCCAGCAAGATAGCCCCCACCTAGGTGTGAAAATCCTGATCCTTTGTGGCACCTAAGGAGCTGGCCCCTCCCGGCAGGCCCCTCCCAGCCACAGCAACATGGGACTGGAGTCCAGCCCACCTTCTGCTGTCACCAGCACCTGTGACCAGAGAGGGCCCAAGTCCAAGTGTTCTTCCCAGCACTGCCCACCTGTACCCAGGAGCCTTTGAGCTCTGCTGGGGCTGGTCCATACAACTGGGAGATCAGGGAGGAGGAGGCGGAGAGAAGAAGACTTGAAGATCTGAGGTCTCTGCTCAGAAGGTTGGGGAACATTCAGGGGTCACTGATGGTGGCAGAACCAGAACCTCGTCTCTGGACTCCTTCACAGGTGTCTTTGCTCCCCTCAGTGGGCAGCTGATGCAGACTGGGCTTTTCCCCTGGACATCGGAAGGTGAGGTCCAAGTAGACAGTTCTGGTTGGCGTGGGGGCAGGAAACTCAAGACCAGCCCTGGGCTGTGTGGCTCTTCTATCTCTGGGTCCTGACTATCCAGGAGAGAAAGGGCACAGAAGGTGGGGACTTCCTCTGGCCTGTAAGACCCTCTGCGAGTCACCCTGTGCTCTTGGATGTCACCCCATCTTCTGGTAGTGGTCAGCTTCTCCTTCCAGGGCCGCCTGAAGCTTGTTTGGGGGCTCCATGGGGGTACCCTGACTCTGCTGACTGCTGAGAAGAACCCTGAAATGCTTGTAGACGCTCATAGTGATTATCTTAGGAAATTCAGAGTCCCTTTGACTCAAGTGGAGTCCTGGTGTGACGCTGTGGGCTGCAAAGTCCTTTGAACTGCAAGGTTGGTGGTTCAAGCTCACCAGCTGCTCCTTGGAAACCCTACACAGGGTCATTATGGGTCGGAACCAACTCAGTGGCACTTAACAAGAATCAACAACTTGACCAAGTTCTTTACCAGGACTCACTGGGGGTCTGAGTCCATCCTTCACCTCAGTGACCTTGATTCCTCCCTTGTCCAATGGGACAATAGTCCAGGTGACAAAGGTACCATAGCAGGTGATGGGCCCACAAGAAGTGCTGTGTTTTTCTTACCTGAGCCCCTCACCTTCCACCCCCACCTCAGGATCCACTGGTGTCTCATCACCCACCAGATCTCAAGTCTCCAGTCTTCCTGCTGGAGACTTTCCAATCGGGGAGCAAATGATTTGTCTCACCTCAAATACCAGCTGCTCATGGAGCCCCCTAAAAGACCCCCAGGCTACCTCCCAACCTGTCTGCTGGTTGCAGGCTCTCCACAACCTTTCAGAAAGCTCCTTCACTTACTTGTCTACCTGTTTGCGGAGCCCCCCGGCTCCATTAAGCTGTCTCCATGAGGTGAGAACTGGGCTGCCTTTACTGGGGTCTGGTTCCCAGCAGGTACTCAATAGCTATTTGCACTGTTGTTGTTAAGTGTCATCGAGTCAGTTCTGACCCATTGTGACCCTGTATAGGGTTTCTGAGGAGCGACTGGTGGATTTGAACCACCGACCTTGCGTTTCAAGCAGAGTAAATGGTTTAAATGGCTGCGCCCACTGTTCAGAGCTGCTGCATCTCTACCTGTGGACACTGCCTTCAAACTGTCACGCTTGTCCCCCATGAACCTGGAACAGCCGAGGAAACCCACAAAATCCTCAGGATCTAGCTTCCAGATCTACCATGACAAGACCCAGACTGCCTCTTCAAAAAGATTTTTATTTGAAAGGAAAAGTCAGATCAGGTGTTGAATTGTTTCAACTCTGGTTTCATTGAGGAGGGTTTAGGTAAGTTAGCGATAGGAGCCATCCTTAGGTGAACCCTCTGTCTTTCTGCTGGCTATTTCCTGGGAAGTCCAGTCTGCCCAGAGCACGGGAGTTCTGACATGACCTGATTTGAGCACAAACCCAAGCTCCCACTTCATTGTATGGCCTCAGGCTCCTTGTATTTGTGGGCAGCCTCAACTTCTTCTTCTGTAAAATGGACTGAAGAGTTACGACTTTCAAGTGTCACTGAACAAAGCCAGTTCTTGAGGTTGCAAGCGCCTTGAGGAAGAATGAGATGGTGTGAAAGAAATTAGCCTTGTTCATACCCTGGGTGTGGCTGTATTGCTCACCATCAGCCGGTGAGCTGAAGGGTAGATGAAGGAAGTAGAGGGCTGCTTCCCCTCTTCTAGAAACACCCCCTAATGTTGACCTTCCATAAGCTACAAGAAGTCATGGTATCATCGCTTTATAAAAGAATGATGGGACCTGTTCAACCAACTCAGCTGTTAGGAACTTGCAAAGTGCTGGTTCTGACTCATGTTGTTGTTGTTAAGTGCCGTCGAGTCGGTTCCGACCCATAGCGACCCTGTACAGGGTTTTCTGTAAATCTTTACAGGAGTAGAAAGCCTCATCTTTCTCCCATGGAGCAGCTGGTAGTTTCAAACTGCTGACCTTGTGGTTCGCAGCCCGATTCATAACCACAACCCTACCAGAGCTCCTTCATAACAACCTTGTATATAGGGTTTCCGAGGAGCGGCTGGTGGGTTTGAATCTCCCACCTTGCGGTTAACAGTCCAGGGCTTATCCTACAGTACTACTTGGTTAATAGTCATAATGATAAGTACTACTATGCCTGGTATGGCGCTGTAGGATCAGCACTTAATGTGAACCACAAGGTCGACAGTTCAAACCCACCATCTGTTCCTTGGAAACCCTATACAAGGTCATTTAAGTTGGCACTGATTGAACAGCATTTAACAACTACGAGTACTGAATTCCTGGTGTGATGCTGTAGGATAAGCCCTGGACTGCTAACCACAAAGTAGACAGTTCACCTACAAGGTGGATGGTTCAAACCCACCAGCTGCTCCTCAGAAACCCTATACAGCTCTGGTAGCATGGTGGTTATGAATCAGGCTGCTAACCTCAAGGTCAGCAGTTCGAAACTGCAGCTGTTCCGTGGGAGAAAGATGAGGCGTTCTACTCCCGTAAAGATTTACAGCCTCAGAAACTGTGTACAGGGTCGCTATGGGTTGGAACTGACTTGACTACATTTAGTAACAACAATGACTCCGTAGGATAAATGTTGAAATTTGAACTACAAGTCAGCAATTCAAGCCCACCAGTGACTCTGAGAGAGAAAGATGAGACTTGCTGCTCCCACCAAGATTCGCAGCCTCAATGCATGCACCCCAACACATATGGGATGTTCAGCTCTGTGACAGCCAGAAAGAAATTGTGCCTCGGTGTCCTCATTGGTAAGGTGAGATCAGAGTCCTCACCTGGGAGCCTGGCTTAGCAATGCAAGCCTCTACCTCGTCTTATCGGTATGAGTGTGCAGTGACGGAGGTGGACATTCCCCATCTGCGGTAATGGATGGAGAGCATTAAAAGAATTAGATGTGTTAAGTGCCCGGCCATCCACAGCCTGGGACTCTTCAGTTAATGAATCCTTGGGTGGATCCAGCACCTTGAATGATAAGACCCACACTGATGACACTTTGCAGGGGCCAGGCTTGGTGCTAGGTGGCTTTGCATGTCTAATCACTTTCCTACCACTGCCCCCAAGGCAGGGCTGTGTTTGCCGGCACCGTTCACTAAAGAAGAAGGAGAATTAAGTGGATTCAGCCTGAAGCCACAGCTCAATCAAGGTCAGAACAAGAACTCAAATCCCGGACGGCCACGCCCACCACTTGGCCCCTCTATTCTCTGTACTCTATTTTAGTTCCCTGACCTGCAGAAGCAGCTTGGGGTGTGGACCTTGCTTGTTCACAGGACGGATGTTACAGAGTGTGGGCCAGACCCCAAGCACTGACACTGTGACCCTAGCAGGTTGGCTCATTTGGAAATTCATGAAGAGTCAAGTCTCCATAGTTAATATCACACCCAGACAAGCTGGAAGGACCCAGAGCTAGTTTCAAAGAGGACAGAGGGAAGCCAAAGAGGGACAGGGGTACCTGAGGTCA